TCCACACATTTCCGTCACGTTCGATCGCTTCCGATGGCGCCTTTCTTCAACTCGGCAGCAGGCACGGTTGGCGAACGTGGGTTCATCGGAGCAAAAGCTGTTCAGGGAAGATGCAAGATAGGGCGTTTGGGCGGGAGAAAAGGATGTAGCTACAGGTTGTTGATGTTTACCATGTGAAATACAAGAATTAGTTGCTTGCGCTTGTCATCTGGCCTCGGCCCATCGCTGCCGTATTTGGTGAAGCGGGCTGCCCCACACTGTGCCGTCATCACAGCGCACCCGTGTTTGCGCGACTTGCAGACAACCGAACCACCTCTCCCCTCAGATCCACGTTCAACATCTGCACGCTAGCTAGAGTTCAACACTCTACGCCCGTCCGTCGGCCCAAAGCAGAGAAGCGCGATTTCTTGGTGTCTTAGAAAGACGGAACCTAGAGCCGTGCTGTGTGGCTCCAACGAGTGCCTCCACGCCATCCCGGCAGTTCATACAGCAGACCACTGCGCAGTGCTTGCATAGCGTCGCGGCAAGCTCGCGCCGCAGCCGTCGCAGCAATATCAACCGGCGAACCCCTCACCTGGCGGGTGCTGCAAGAATCCATACCTTTTCCATTGCTTCGTCTCATCCAACATGGCTGATGTTAGCAATGGGTCCAGCGCCGACGATAGCCAGCTACGCGAGCGGCCGTCGGCTAAGCCGCTGCATCTCAACAACGCAGACGATGCTAAGCAAAAGGTTCTGGAGCTGAACGACCACGAAGACAAGAAGCACAAAGATGACAGCAAGAAACGCACCTATGGAAGAACTCCAGACGGTACAGGTACGTCTCCCCTGGTGCTGCACCGAAGCAAAAGCAATTACCATGCATGCATTCATAGCGTGTCCACCTGTACCACGAACTACTCATACTAACACCACACGTCTAGTCTTCATCGTTCCACAGACTCACGACATGGTCTCGCAGCTGCTCTCGCCCTCGCAACCCAAGAACCTGTCCGATATAGCAGTCCTCGCCGTGCTTGCTGCCCTGATCTTGACCTTCTTCGTACTGCCCAAAAGCGCCCGCATACCCATATTCGCTATCATCTTCCTCTTCTGGCGCGCCGGTTACAATGCCGGTATTGGCTGGTTGCTCGATGGCCAGTCTAAACACAATCGTCTCGTCCTCTGGGCCAAACAAAGCCATGTTTTCGAGAAGCCTGAATCTGGCAAGAACCCACACCCCGCCCTGTATAAGCTCCTCAAGCGGGAACTAGAGACCAAGATCCCCAACGATTACAACTTCGACGAAGCGCCGCTTGAGTACAACACGTGGCTCGTGTTTAGGCGTGTAGTAGACCTTATACTCATGTGTGACTTTGTTTCATACTGCCTGTTCGCCCTCGCCTGCTTCAACCGCCCCCAAGAAAGCTTCTTCTTGTGGATTCTGCGCTGGACGACTGGCATTGTTCTATTCCTTTTCAATCTGTGGGTGAAGCTAGACGCCCACAGAGTTGTCAAGGACTTCGCTTGGTTGGGGACCCCTCCCTGACTCTGAAAGATAGACGTCTAACATGCGAGACAGGTATTGGGGCGATTTCTTCTACCTCATTGACCAAAGCCTGACCTTCGATGGCGTCTTTGAGATGGCACCGCAGTAAGAGGCTCCATGTTACTTTCAGCCTGAAAAAGACACTAACTTACCGGTCCACCAGTCCCATGTATTCAATAGGCTATGCTGGATACTATGGTATCGCCCTCATGATGGCAAGCTACAAAGTCCTAGCAATCTCGATTATCGCCCATGCAGCCCAATTTGCCTTCCTTTCCATAGTAGAGGAGCCTCACATAAACCGCTTGTACAATCCGCCGCCACCCCGCCGTACGCGCCATAATTCTGGAGATATCCAGCTCGAAGACCGGCCCAAAACTAGCCAGTCTGATGTCGCCTTCTCTGATACCGCCTACGATCCCACCAAGCACCAACCAGCCCAAACGCACCACATTGTAGGGCCCCTGAACACGGATTTTCATCGATCTATTGATCTCACGGTAGTATTGCTTTCGTTCTACATGATGTGCTTGGCGACGCTAACACCCAACACTTGGTTGGTAAGAACATTTCTCTTCATCAACGCCTTCGGGTGGCGGCTCTGGTACGCGCTGGGACTAGGCTACATTCTAGATCGACAGTCGAAGAAGAAGAACTGGACCAAGCATTTCATCAAGTACGGCGACACGAAGGAGGAAGCCTGGCGCCAATGGAAATCTCTATACCATATGAGCATGACCATGAGCCACGCCTCGTTTCTCGCCGTGGCATGGAAGATGTACAGTCTTCCTGCTGATGGTCTCAATGGTCTCACGCTTTTCCGACATGTCCTTGGCTCGGGTATGATCGTACTTCAGCTGTGGGTTGCCATGAGCATCTACGAGTCTCTGGGCGAGTTTGGATGGGTAAGTCTTGGAAGTTTGAAGTGCATGTAGGATATACGCTAACACTGCATCTTCATCTCTGCAGTTTTGTGGCGACTTCTTCTTCGACCCGCCTTCAAGGTCACTGACTTACTCCGGTATTTATCGTTTCCTGAACAATCCTGAACGAGTTCTCGGATTGGCTGGCGTCTGGGGCGTAGCTCTCATTACTTGGAACCCCGCGATCTTCTATCTTGCTACGACCGCCCATGTCCTCAACCTCGCGTTCCTCCAGTTTGTCGAGAAGCCCCATGTCATCAAGGTGGGTCAACATTTCCTTTAGTCGTGATTCTTCTCGACGTATACGGTGCTTGACCAGAACTTTACTGACAGTGTATGCTTAGTTGTATGGGCGAAACCTACGTGAGATGTCGGGAGTCAGTAAAACCGTACGCCAAGCACTACCAGACCCAGTACGCCAGTGGCAGTCGGCAGCCGACGAGTATCTCAACTCTACTATGGAATTCATCGAAGAATTTCTGGACAATGTAAGGCCCAAAGTGGCTGCCCGTGTCGATGCCTTGATCAAGGACACAACAAGCCGATTCAAATTTTACCCATCGCGTATTCCCGTCAGCGGCCGTTCGTCGGAGCCCGTAGGTCTGGATGCGAAGCAATACAGGCTCGAGGTTGAGGGCACCCTTTCCCCGCCGATAGTGGAGCAGCAAAAGAGCGGTGGTCGCGAAGGAGAGCTGGCAAGAACACCAGCTGTTCGTACAAATGGTTTCAAAACACTCATCCTTGAGTACGGTGCACCCATCAGGGTTCGCTGGCAGGCACCTATCAACCACAGCAAGAAAGACTGGATTGGCCTGTACATGGTTGCTGACAACCAGTCTCGGGAAGTTACGCGCATCAGTTCCAACGGGCGATGGGTAGCCACCAACCCTGATGTCTTTGACTCTACGAGAGCTGACGATGGCATTTTGGTCTCGGACAAGCTCGTACCAGCCGATAATACGGATGAGGAGTCATCTGATTGCTACACTGGCGAGGTCGAGTTCCGTGGAGACAAGCTCTGGTGGACTACTGGTGTGTTCGAATTCCGGTATCACCATGGTGGTCGACATCACGTCATGGCGCTCTCACAAGCCTTCGAGATCCGAATCCCCAAGTTTGATGAGACCGACGTTGAAGCGGACGCCAACGGCACGATTCAGCGTGCGGTGGAGGAAGCGCTGCTTCCAGTTATCCAGAACTGCTTTGACCGCGACCCTGAAATCGCGCCATCGACCGCCGAAGAAACCTTTGGCAGTTTGGTCGAGCGAGATGGCAAATTTGCGCGACGTGTTGTCTTCGCAGTCCACCAAATGTAAGTTCTCTCCCTTGGTGCGTTATTGTCTGGATCATGTGACTAACGATGTCCAGGTTCGGTATTGAGTTCGCTCCTGAGGTGGTACAAGCCGATGGCACGGTCAAGAATCTGGCCTGGAGGATCCTTAATGCCAAGAAAGTCTTGGTGAGCCATTCGCGAGCTACAGCATGGAGATTGGGTCACTAACGGCGTTGGCAGGCCCCTTACAGTATGTCGTCCGCTACGCACGGTAGGAACACCCCAACCATGGGTTGAGGAAAGCTTGTACGGCACACCCCCGATTGGTTCATTGAGACAACAGCAGAAGCTGGGCATTGTCTTTATAGAGGAGGCTTCTAGAAAATGGCCCTTCATTTCGGTAATGAACAAGGGTAGGGTGTCATGCACGTCTTGCGAAGACAAACGCGGCGCACACAGACGGCGACATGCGTCTTGGGGCGGTTGACCTATGTACATGGAGGGTGCGTTGGAGTTGTGAATACATGCGGTGTACGGTTTAGAGTAGGAGGTGTACATGAGCATAAAAAGAATCGATTGATTTTGAGTACCTTGGTAAACCTTACTGTGTCAACGTCATGTGATTTGAGCTACACCTTGCAACAAGATACCTTCGCGTAGCCGGTGGTTCCTACATGATAAAAGCCCGAGGAGTCATATGGGAGAGACTCTGCGACGACATGCAGAGCTTAGTCATATGTGGTTGTGTGTAGCACCGTACTCGTTGCCCGGTTTGGGCTTGCTGTTCCGACAAACGCATGGAGAGCGCATAGCTCGAGAACTAATGCCCAATGCATTCATGGACAAGGTGTCAAGGCTGTGCGATGACGGCAAGATTACGAGCTGGATGCGGAGATGATCTTATCAGATGGCGATGGCGATGGCGATGGCGTCGTGATGGGCGTGATTCGCGCCGGCTGGTTTAACCTCGGTCTGGTCCGTGAGAGCATCTTCTGGAAGCTGTCACGCCTCCTGCGCCGACCATGTCGCCGTCGCATCGACGCTCTTATCTACAGGACAATTCAGCTTGCGAGCGCGACATAGTGGTGTACTTGTTTGCGTGAAACACGTTGGTGCGCCGTCCCTTTGTTCAGCACCGTCCATTTGGCACCCTCTCATCCGTCGGGAGTCCGCACCAGCGACAGTGCCCAGCGGGTCCGCACGTCACCACGCGACCTTGCGCCTTCCTCGCTCACACGCTCGCCCCATCCCGCCAGCAACTCGCCGTTAGCACCTCATGATGGGAAAAGGCTCCTCCAAGACCAGCACCAAGGTGCTCCCGCTCATCCCGCTCGCGCCGCCGCTCGCCGTCCTCCCGGGCACAACCCTCAAGATCCCCATCACCAACCGCTCCGATGTCGCCGCCATCCTCGCCAAGATATACAGCATTAGCCCTACCGCGAAGCCCGACGCGGCTATCACGGTCGCCTGCGTGCCGCTGAAGTCCAACACGCTGGGCCCGGACGGCCAGCTGCTGATCGACGATGGCCATCAGGGGGACAAGACGGCGTTTGAGAGCGATCCCATGCAGGCGACGAAGAAAGACATCTATGGCTATGCTTGCATCGCCAAGGTCAGCGGTGTCCAAGGACGGCGGCAGGGCGATCTGAGCCTGGTGGTCGAGGGCCTGGAGAGGGTGCAGGTCGTCGATGTCGTCCAGGAGAGGCCGTACTTTGAGGGAGAGCTTATGGCCGTCGACGAGTACAGTGCGTATACCCCCGTCTGAATTGGTCCTGCACGCATACTGACTAGCACAGTCGACATCGCGAGTGCAGACCTCCTGAACCAGTTCAACCTCCTCAAGCAGCTGTCGCGCGAGCTGCTCGCCCTCGTCCGCCTCTCCGCCATTCTACCGCGCACGCCACAAGTCACCCTCTCGCCCATTGTCGCGCGGAGACTCGAGATGTACATCACAAGGAAAGACCTGTCAGAGGCTGGCGCGCTGGCCGACTTCATGGCCAACGTGGTGGAAAGTACACACGAGGAGACGCTGCGCGTTCTGGCAGCGGTAGACGTCAAGGAGAGAGTGGACAGGGTCATCGAGATCCTCCAGCGCCAGATCGGCAGCATCCAAGGCAACACACGCATGACTGTCACGACAACACAGACGCAGGGCGGCAGCTTGGACATGGAGACACTGCGACGACTGCAGCAGGAAGCCCTGACAAGAAGAGGAAAGATGGGTGGCGGTCTCCCAGCCGGATTTCCTGGAGGCTTCCCAGGCGGTGGGCAGCAACAGGCCGGTGAAGAAGAGCCCAACGAGATTGACGAGCTGAAGAAGAGGCTCCAAGATGCCAAGTTGTCTCCAGATGCTGACAAGGCGGCTCAGCGCGAGCTGTCGAGGCTGCAGAAGATGAACCCCGCCCAAGCAGAATACCAGGTCTGCAGGAACTACCTCGAGAACCTCGCCGAAATCCCTTGGACCAAAACGACAGTCGATCAACTCGATGCCACTACACTGGTCAGGGCAAAGAAGCAGCTCGACGGCGATCACTATGGTCTTGAGAAGATCAAGAAGAGACTACTTGAGTATCTGGCAGTGCTCAAGCTCAAGGAGCAGGCAAACAGGACCATCGACGATCAGATCCGCGCTCTCGCCGATACACCAGAGGGAGATGACGAGGCCAAGGAACAAGACCCCGAAGACAAGGTTGCAAAGGAACCATCCGAGGCTGAGCTGCGGCTGTTGGAGAAGAAGCGCATGGTCGACAAGTCGCCAATCCTGCTGCTCGTCGGGCCGCCAGGAACAGGAAAGACTTCGTTGGCCAAGTCAGTTGCTACCGCACTTGGTCGCAAGTTCCATCGCATCTCACTTGGTGGTGTGCGCGATGAGGCAGAGATCCGCGGCCACCGTAGGACCTATGTCGCTGCTATGCCTGGTCTCATCGTCAGCGGACTGAAGAAGGTCGGCGTTGCAAACCCAGTCTTCCTGCTCGACGAAATCGACAAGCTAGGCATGTCGAACCACAATGGCGACCCCGGTGCAGCCATGCTCGAGGTGCTCGATCCAGAGCAGAACCATACCTTCACAGACCACTACGTTAACATTCCTATTGACCTTTCCAAGGTGCTCTTCATCGCCACCGCCAACTCGCTCGATACCATTCCCCCACCGCTCCTCGATCGTATGGAAACCATCCAGCTCTCCGGTTACACTACACTCGAGAAGAGGCACATCGCATCAAGACATTTGATCCCGAAGCAGATCACCAGCAATGGTCTCCACCATGAGAACCTCAACATCCCGACCGACGTGCTCGACAAGATCATTACATCCTACACACGCGAGTCCGGTGTGCGAAATCTCGAACGCGAGATCGGCTCCGTCTGTCGTTCCAAAGCCGTCGAATACGCCACGGCGAAAGACACAAATACTCTCGCCGCGTACTCCCCTGTTGTCACATTGGAAGATCTCGATACCACGCTCGGCATCGAGAAGTTCGCCGAAGAGCTCACTGAGCAATCTTCACGTCCAGGTGTCATCACAGGGCTAGTCGCATATAGCACCGGCGGCCAAGGCTCCATTCTGTTCATCGAGATTGCAGATATGCCCGGCTCAGGCCGCGTTCAGCTCACCGGCAAGCTGGGCGACGTACTCAAGGAGAGTGTAGAGGTAGCTTTGACTTGGGTCAAGGCTCATGCATTTGATCTCGGTCTGAGTGCAAGCCACGACGAAGACATTATGAAGAGTCGTAGCATCCACGTCCACTGCCCTTCTGGTGCTATTCCTAAAGACGGTCCCAGTGCCGGTCTTGCGCACACCATCGGCCTCATCTCCCTCTTCTCTAACCAGCCTGTTCCGCCTACACTGGCCATGACTGGTGAAATCTCTCTTCGCGGAAGGGTACTGCCTGTCGGTGGTATCAAAGAGAAGCTGATTGGAGCGCTGAGGGCAGGCGTCGAAAGAGTGCTCCTACCCGAGGGCAACAGAAAGGATGCAAGGGATCTACCGTTGGAAGTTACCCAGGGTCTCAAGATTGAGTTTGTAGGCCACATCTGGGAGGCCTTGGGCAAGGTTTGGCCCGAGAGATGGGAGGGCGAAGACGGAAGGAGGGGATGGGAGAGCAGATTGTAGACTGTAGATTGTCTGAGTGATGGGTCTTGGTGGGGTTGGAAAGGAGTTGGATTGGTGTCTTGCATTTAGCGTTGCATTCGTTACAATCGGTCTGTGTATACTGTATTAGCTGACTATACTCACATCTCTCACATTACCCATCACTGCCGTTCCTCACCCGTTGTGTGTCAGATTATTCTCACCCGACCCTCATATGTTTAAGATACTTCTCCCTTGCTGTCCTGTTCATGAAATCGCAAATTTGTGGAGAATGATTATACAGGCACGATCTGTGACGATTGCGACCTTGTCAACTCAAGATATCAAGTCATGCAATCAGCTGCAAAGAAAAAAGCTTCCTGCTGCCCGGGCATACAGTCATCTTTTCGATACCACATCCTTTTGTCCCGAGATATGTCCGCCACCCTGGCATGGGCGCCTGGCTAGGGTAAGAACGATTCAACATAATGACTGAACACCAGAAACTTCCGCTAGCGACCTGGAAGCATTCCAGGAATAATTGTATTAAGGCAACGGACGACTTCCTTCCCCGGAGAACCTCACATGCTGACCGTGATGCTTTCTGGTTCTCCCAACAGACTTCCAGACTTCAGTAGCATGGTCTCGTGCGCTCGGCGCGGTGGACGAGGCCAAAGTTACAGTACACTCACAGCACTGGTTTATGCTGCGAGCATAGGAGGAGTTCGCATCTTTTCATGTGTGTTATTATCTACTAATTGTATGACCCAGATCCATGTCTTCGAGATAAAAGCGGAGTGAGTTCAACGCGGAAGAGAGTACCAGAACGTGTGGAATCTCGAAAGCGAAGACGAATGAGCTATAGCTTACACCATGTCAGCGTCATGATCTGTAGCTAGATGGTATACGGCTCGTGACGAGGGGCATGCTCAAGTCGATTGCGGCAGGATTCCCGACTTCGTCGGAGACTTGTACATCACACACCTTCCGCTACGCGACATTCAGCCTTTATTGTTATTATTAGCGCTGAAAAGACTCGAACGATGTCTCTGTTTCTTCCGGAACCGCCTCGATTGAAGCTGCGAAGCCTTTGTGTGTAGAGATTGCTTCGATATGGGTCCCCTGGACCCGTGACCCCAAAGATCGAATATAGAAAAGTGGTCTAACGAATCTTATGCGCGAAAGATCTTTCATGACAATACGTACTTGTACCCCGTATGTGTCATTATCGTCAAAGATGTTAGTCATTTTGTATTCCTGATCATCTTGTCGTTGTCTGCTCTTGATTGCTCTATTGGTTGCTCGTGTTATCAGGACACGAATGAGATAGCGCGATGACTCCCTGGAACCTGATGTGAGACTGGTAATCATCGAAAGCGATACTATTACTTCGGAGGGCGACGAGATGAAACCATATCGAATATTGACCGAAGTCGTAGCGTCCAACCGGTGATGCTTCCACATAGTCACATCTCCGAATACTTTGCGAGCCATTCAATCCTCCACGCCTTGTACAGCGGAGATGGGCGGTTCCGAGCACGCGTCACCCTTCCGGGAGCCTCGGTGACAGACCCTGCCCGTTCGAGCGATATGCTGGATGATCTTCCTATAGCAGCTTCCGAAAGCGAGCTCAACACCCAACCGTTGCAACCCAAAATACCGGGAAAGGGTGGGACGGAATGGTGCGGAGGCGGAAGAGGACTGAGCGCTGCGCGGCGCACGGGGACCTGCCCCCTGACTTACTCTTACGGTGATGTTCTGGCCCAGACGACCGAGTCAAGCTTTGCCGTACCGCCATCTCCACCACGGTACTTGTTGGCGTTTCAGAGACCCTGCAACAAATCTTGCACAGCGAGGCGACGTCGGTAGACGAGTGTTGTAGCCTCACGATGGAGCGTAACAATAATTATACCCGGGTTTGATGTTTAGTATTCATTTGTTCGCAAGGTTGTCTGCTCCTTCTGAAGTCGATCACGCTTGGCTTTGAGGGGAAGTTGCTTATCGTGGGACGTCGTAACGGGTCTGCTCCAGCATTTTTTCCATGTGACAAGATCTCGTGAAGAGTGAGTCGAACTAGAGGAAACATATGTGATGTTGAGGGCTTCTAGTATTAGAGAATTGCGGCGTATTGCAATGCGTAGCTGATGGACCTGTGCCGCGCTCCGTGTCATGATATCGGAATTGCTAGGCCTTTCTGTTGTTGGGACTTCTGTAATATGGTGCATCAACAACATGCCATTTTGCTCAAACCTAATGATTTCGAGCCTCCGCCAGACAAAGGCCATGTCAAGCTCACGAAGCGCCTACATGGGATGCAATTTCGGCAATGTGCACCGAGATGCAGAGCGGCTTCGACGTCGCATTGGAATGTCGCAGTCGTCTAGAGTTAGTACGCGTCGCGCGGGGCCCGAGGCATGTTAATGCTGGAATACTGCGATCGATAAGGGCAGCAACGGCGGCCAGCAGCGGTGATGCCGGCTCGGCCGGCGGAAGTTGCCGCTGATTGTTTGCGCGCGCGGTACACGCCCGCACGTGCGTGCAGTAGAAGACACCTGGAAGGTAATGATGGGCTGTCGATAGAAGACGCAGAAACCACCGGGGAGGGAAAGTTAGAGTTCGGCTCGACTGCTAATGAAAGCTTGCTGCTGCCGACTCTTCAAGCGGCAAGCGAAGAGGGGCGTGATCCCCACACCACCCAGGTCATCGGGCCAGCCATAGTTACCTAAGCTTCTCCACCGATGGCATGGGCTGGTTGAAACAGCACGGATCGGCGCTGCACTTGGGAAGTCGTCGTTGCCAGCCTCGATATGGCACCATGGCTTCCCAACTGTCCGCCGTAAGCCCCGATCCAGCCCATGGGTAGAGCTGCATACATGCCCAAAAGCCCACCGGCGGCGAGAATTTCGGCGGTACAGCACCTCTTGCAGCGTCGATGACATCGTCGCTTGGCCTCTTCATCTCAAGGACGAAACGGCCGACGTGCCCAGGTGTGTGCCAGGCTGCCAGCGCAGCAAGCGGATTGTCTGCAAGTGCATTACCGACTGCAGCGTACTAAGCCGGCCGCTGAAGGTGCTGCACTGTGCCTCTTGGCAGGTGCGATGCAACCGATGGAGCGATGTGATTGCGCATGGATTTGCTGAATCCAGCGCTGCAGATAAAGGCAATATACGTCGCGGAATCCAGGCGCTCATTTGCTGGGTAAAGCGTGTTGGGTCAGGCTGTCTAGACAGTACAGTGCGACGCCGCACCGTGTGGGGTGTGCCCAGCCATCGATTGGATGTTCCCCGGTGGGAGGTGAAAGGGAAAGGGTCTGCTGAGGCAGAGTTCCAACGTGCTACAGTGTCGACCTGATGTGTGGGTTCAGAGGCTCTCGAGCCCTGCCAAACCGTGGTGGGCGGAGGCCCCCAGGATGCGGGCACAATGTTCCGCGGAGCGGCGCAGGCCCTGGTTCCGTCATGGTGGCCGCTGGCAAGCCGACTGATCGATGCCTGGAATGGATGCAGCGCCGCCGCGATCCCGCAGCAGACATCGAGCCGTGGGCACCAAACAGCGACGCAGGCTCGGTTGCAGCCAGAATGCATGCAGCCGTCGTGTGCGACTGTTCCCCGTGCACAACCTGAGCCCTGGACTGCTCGTTGCTGTTCGTCTTCCCCGGCGGTTTTCCCAGCGATAAAACGTCCCTCGCCGTAGTCAGCCGCAGAAGTCGCTTCCAGTCCAGCAGGCAGTGCCCTGATGTTGTCCGCTTTTGTAACCAACGGCTCGCGCTTTTTCTCAGCCACGCTTGTGTAGTTCGGGGTCGATTCCAGCCCACTGGGAAGCCGGGTCATGGTCTGATGCGCGCCGCTCTGCACATACATACATAACTTGTGGACCGCCACCTTTCGTCACATCGCCATCGCCAGGTCTCGCCGGCCAGCTTTGACAAACGGTTAAAACTGCCAGTACGCCAGTTTACACTTCTCAGGGTTGTCCTTGGCCGTCGAGTAGATTGCCGCCTACCAAACCTTCGGTGTCCCGACACGTTCCAGTGGCCAGACTCCAGGGATTTTTAGTTGAGCTGCATGCAGGGCTGACTTTCAACGGCGCAACCTCGTCACCGGATCGCATGTGTTTGGGTCCAGGCCAACTCTATTCATAAGTTAGCAGCGCCCCTTTGTTGCATCGCCATTTCGCATACACATCTTTGCGACGCCAACCATGACGACACCAGCAGATACTGGAGCGGTGGACAAGGGCAAGAATGTGGAACGCGGCACCCTGGGCAAATATGTGAAGCGGATGAGCACTGTGTTCAAGAGGGAGAAATCAAACAAAAGTGTACCGACCCTGGCGCCCGAGCCATCGTCAACTCCGCAAGTCGCGCAGCAACAGCCTGTCGAGAAGGAAGTTGCGCAGCCGGACCAAACCATCCCGGAAGTCGCACCTGCCACGTGAGTTCTATAACGCCGTGTCGTTGGAAACATGCGTACTAATTTAACAAGACCTATCACTCCCGCCGTGTCAGTGCCATCAACTCCAACTACCAAGGAGATGGACCGCAACGCCATGCAGCAGGAGAGAGCCCGCGCACTCTTCGCCAAGTATGGCCTCACCCTTGAGTCACACGAGTGGATCGCTGCACCAGCTCCAAAACCCACCGTCCAGCGTGTCGAAAAATCGATCCGTATGCGTGTCCATCGCAGCTGCCACCGCTGCGGAACCCTTTACGGCTCCGACAAGGTGTGCCTACAATGCGAGCACAAACGGTGCAAGAAGTGCCCTCGTTTCCCCAAGAAGAAGACGCCGGAAGAGAAGCAAGCCGAGAAAGAGGGTATGGAGCAACCCAAGCGAAAGAGAATGCTCACTATCCGGACTCGTGGCGGGGACGAGTTGGTATATCAACCTGCGAGACAACGCATCAGACGTAACTGTCATGTGTGTGAGAATTTGTTCGTTCCCGCAACGGCGAATGTCTGCAATTCATGCCAGCATGTCCGATGTACGAAATGCCCGCGTGAGCCAGCCAAGCTCAGCAAATGGCCTGATGGCTACCCGGGCGATGC